TGGTTTCTTTATAAATGTATCTTTTATTGCAATTTCAGTCAACTGGTTCAAGTCCTCCGCTTTGGAGCAGGAGAAATCAAGCTTGCTCCATTTTCCGTGTGACAGCGCTTTAGATATTTGAAGTTGGCCATCATATCCCCTCTCAGTCTCTAAAGATACCCAGCTCCTTCAACCATTCCTCACAAGGTTCAGTTTCTGGGCCCTTGATCATCTCGGTCGCCTTCTTCTGCCCACCTTCCAGCTTATCCATGTCCTCCTTAAATTGGGGTGCCCAGAACCGGACACAGGACTCCAGGTGGGGTCTGACCAGGGCAGAATACGGTAGGATTATGACTTCCCTTGTTCTGGACGCCTGTTGATGCAGCCTAGACCAGCATTGGGTTTTTCGGCTGTAGAATATTACCCAGCCAAAAGACCCGGTGGAACGTTTTTGCCTGGCGCCTAAAAATAAATAACGGAGGCGCCAGGCAAACCTCCCTGGGGAGAGCATTCCTTCCCCCCCCAAATGCTTTTTTTAATTAATTTTCCATTTTTTGTTGTTGTTTAGTTGTGTCCGCCTCTTTGTGACCCCCTGGACCAGAGCACGCCAGGCTCTCCTGTCTTCCACTGCCTCCCGCAGTTTGGTCAGACTCATGTTTGTAGCTTTGAGAACACTGTCCCACCATCTCGTCCTCTGTCGTCCCCTTCTCCTTGTGCCCTCCATCTTTCCCAACATCAGGGTCTTTTCCAGGGAGTCTTCTCTTCTCATGAGGTGGCCAAAGTCTTGGAGCCTCAGCTTCAGGATCTGTCCTTCCAGTGAGCACTCAGGGCTGATTTCCTTCAGAATGGAGAGGTTGGATCTTCTTGCAGTCCATGGGACTCTCAAGAGTCTCCTCCAGCACCAGAATTCAAAAGCATCAATTCTTCGGTGATCAGCCTTCTTGATGGTCCAGCTCTCACTTCCATACATCACTACTGGGAAAACCAGAGCTTTAACTATACAATTTCAACAATCATCCACACACTTCCTTGTCCATCACTCTGCCAAGCAATGACTTCCCTCCCTCCCTCCAACATGTTTTCCTATTTCAGTCTACTTCCCGCAGTTCCTTCTTATCCACGTCGTAAGATTTATTTCAGTCCTACTAGTGCCTTCAAATTTCTACAGTTATTATTTATATAATCCATAAATTTACTCGTCTCTTTGTAATTTTGCTTCCTCCTGGTTTCGGATCTTGCAGGTTATTTTTTCTAGTTTCGTGCAATCCATCATTCTCGTCTGCCACTCCTCCACCGCTGGTAATTCCTGTATTTTCCATTTTTGGGCAAACAAAGTTCTAGCAGCCGTGGTCACATACATAATCTGCTTTTCCAATTTCCTCTCCCATCAAGCCCAGCAAAAAAAGTTTCTGGCTTTTTTGGGGGAAGGTATATTTAAGCATCTTTTTCAATTCATTGTAAATCAGTTCCCAAAATGATTTTGATTTCTCACATGGCCACCACATGTAGTAAAAATCGCCATCCTTCTCTTTACATTTCCAACATAATTTACTACTCATCCTATACATTTTTGCCAATTTCACAGGGGTCAAGTACCAGCGGTACATCATTTTCAAGATATTTTCTTTCAGGGTGGCACATGCTGTCAATTTTAGACTCGCATTCCACAAACCCACCCACGCATCATGCTCGATATTGTACCCAAAATCTATTGCCCCTTTTATCATCACCTCCTTTGTTCATCTTTGGTGTACCATTCTAATAAAAAAATTGTACATTTTGGATAATAATTTGGTCCTGCCTTCCAACAATTCAATTTGAAATCTGGATATTTGTTTTAATCATTAAATCCTACTTTCTTATCACACATAAACACATCATTCACTTGGTGGAATTGCAGCCATCCTGTTAACACATCCTCGATACAATTGTAAGGCTTTAATTTCCAACCTCTGTTTTCATTAGGATCTCTTCATAGGTTTACATGGGATGGAACTAGACAGCTCAGAAACTTTAGCTAGTGCAGAATTTGGTTGCAAACTGGAGCAAGAAGGTTTGAGCATATTGCACCGATCCTGGCCCTACTGCACTGCCTACTGATCAGTTTCCAGGCACAATTCAAAGTGATGTTTTTGACCTACAAAGCCTTAAATGGCTCAGGACCACAACAAGACCTCAAAGACTGCTTCTTTCCATACTGTTGCAGGAATTTATGTATAGGTTGGGGGGTGGGGTTTGCCCCTCCAGCAGATATCCTGCACCTGCAGCCCACTACCAAAATCAGCACCATCGCTTTTGTGACTTTTGTGATTTGTCTCCACAAAACACTTGGCCACAGTTTCTTCCTGCCTACTCAAAGGGCCTTTGCTGCACGATACCAAATGTAAGAATTCACTGATAAATGGATCTCTGTACTGGCTCACTGGGAAAACTTCAGAAATTCATATAGACATGTGAGCTCAGCTCCTCAGCAGCCCCTCTGCCTGAGTGATAATTCCTGGCATCCTGATACCTGAGTGCCAGACAGGTAGCCATTCCAGAAGTAACAAAAGGGCACTATTAACTTGGCTGGGAAACAGGGAAATGTAAATGTCTCTTTTGTTTCACTTGATGGGTGTTTGGTGGAGGGCAAGGGGAACCATGGGGCAGGGTCCAGGATGCTCAGATTACGGCCACCAGACCTCCCCTTTCATGATGTAACCGTGATGTATGAGTGATGTAGTTTTTTGGGGGGGTGTAACATGGGGATTAGCAGCTAATCAAAGTTTGGGGGCTCCTTTGTTCGGGGCTTCCATCTTGTTCCACCTGGTGGCAGGTGGGAGTCCTGTCGCGACAGTCTTCAATCAAGACCAAGCCTACTGGCTGCTGTTTTGCTCTGGGATTCCTGGCTGGTGTTCTTGTGTTTTTGTCCAAGGGAGACCTCAGATTTCTCTGTTAACAATATGAACCGGTCCAGACCCTGAGAACATCTTCGGGGGCCCTCCTTCGTGTGCCGCCTCCTCTAGAGGTCCGGAGGATGGCAAGGCGAGAACAGGGCCTTCTCTGCAGTAGCTCCCCGTCTGTGGAATGCTTTCCCCAGGGAAGTTAGTCTGGTGCCTTTATTATACACCTTTAGGCGCCAGGCAAACACGGTCCTTTTCAACTAGGGTGATCCAGTTTACAGTGGTGCCTCGCAAGACAAAAATAATCCGTTCCGCGAGTCTCTTTGTCTAGTGGTTTATTCGTCTTGCGAAGCAACCCTATTAGCGGATTAGCGCTATTAGCGGTTTAGCGGCTATTAAAGGCTTAGCGGCTAAAAGGCTATTAGCGGCTTAGAAAAAGGGGGGGGGGAGCGAAAAAAATCGCAAGGCTTGCAAGACGTTTTCGTCTTGCGAAGCAAGCCCATAGGGAAAATCGTCTTGCGAAGCAACTCAAAAATGGAAAACCCTTTCGTCTAGCGGGTTTTTCGTCCTGCGAGGCATTTGATTGGATAGGTATTGTCAGGGGCTCAGGAGCAGAGGGACAGGAAAGGGAGGAATTAGAGACCGAGGGGGAGGAATCCGAGGGAGAAGTTAGCGATGATAGCCGCCCGAGGTCTCTAAGTCTCTCCAGCGAATCGGAGGATTCACAGAAAGGGGCTCCCGTGGTCAGAGCTAGGGGGTTGCCAGAGGGAACACCCCAGGAAGGAGGGGCCAGAGGGGACTCAGAGAGCAGCAGCTGGAAATCGGGACCAGCTTCCCCACCGGAGAGCAGTAGGGGGGAGGAGTCCCAGGCATCGGCATCAGGCAGCTTTCCGTCAGCGGAAGGACATGAGTCAGGGTTAGCCACGCCTGCATCAGAGAGTGAGGAGAAGGTCAAAAGGAAGGTCGGAGGCAGCGCGCGCGCGCCAAGTTCAAATGTACAAGAGGGTGGCGCGATGAGCAGCCCGGATAGGGAGCCAGGTCCTAAAGCCCGCCGAAGGGAGGGGGAAGAGTCCGAGGGGTCCGCTTCCGAGGCGTCCAGGAAGGAAGGGACCCCGGGGGTGGTAGGACCCAGAGGCGGAAGGAGAGACGGAAAAGGTGGAGTAAGGCTAGAGTCTTAAGCTGGTGTACAGGGGGCGGAGACTCAGACGGAGCTTCGTCAGTCTAGGCTCTAGACGTAGAGACGCACGCTAGGTTTGAAAATGGAAACTATGCTTCAATAAAGACTTTTGTACAGTTCTACTGGCTTAGCGTTGTCCTCTGTGAGCTGGGACCTGGAGGCAGTCTCTGACAGGTATTTTTGTGGTTTTATATCTTGGTTTATTTTGTGAACCACCCTGAGACCCCCAGGTATAGGGCAGTATATAAATTCAATTAATAATAATAATAATAATCATCATCATCATCTTATTGCGGCAAAATGGAAGAGTAATGAAATCCCCTCGATACAAGATCGGATCCAAAAGCTGACAGAATATGCCGAATTAGACGGTCTATCAGAAAAAAACAAAGAATAAATCAAAACAGGAATTTGTCTCAAAATAGGAGGTTTTCATAGAATATTTGAAATATAAATATAGTAGTTTAAACTCTGTTGCAGCATTTGAGGAACTTCAGTAATAGTTGCAAGGTAGATATAAGAATTAAGATATATTTAGAAAAAGTTTAATTATGATAAAAGCGTGTATTGGTAATAAGTAATACGAAATTGAAAAATGGAATAGACGGGATTTTGGGTCTTTAGTGTGAAGACCAATTTATGTTTTATCGTTTGTTAAGAAAATTACGTGTCTATGGTTATTCCTGTGTGAAATTTGGTATTTGTGTTTTCTCTTTTCTTGTTGTATATAATAATAATAATAATAATAGCTGGTCCTTGTGGTCCCACGAAACTAAGTATTGAAGAATGGTTTCCCGGCTCTCTGCAGGCTTCCTCAACTCCCCTTCCGAAGGACCCTCCACCTGGGGGTCGCAGTGGGGCTCCTGGTCTCCGCCATCCTGTACATCGGCCTGACCCACTGGGAGAACATCTTTGCCCGCCGCAGGTCCGTCGTCCTTCAGATGGGCAGCTGCCGCTTCCAGCTAGACCTCGGCGTCCACCTTGCCCTGTACCCGCACCTGCAGCGCTATCGTTGCCGGGAGCTGGTCTCCGAAGACGCCTGGTGCCGCGGCCCCTGGCCTGCCCCATTGCTCCTCCTGGCCATCAAGTCGCACCCGGCGTCCTGGGAAAGGAGAGCTGTCCTGCGCCGCACCTGGGCCCAGCAGAGGCCGATGGACGGCTTCTTCCTCCAGCCCGTCTTCCTGGTGGCCACGGCCTCCGAAGACAGCCTGGCCCAGGCGCTGAGGCAGGAAATCCAAGTGTTCGGGGACGTCCTGTGGTGGGACTTTGGGGAGTCGCCCCGAAACCAGTCCCTGAAGGAGCGCTGCTTGCTGCAATGGGTCCACAACCACTGCCAGGGAGTGGCCTATGTCTTCAAAGGTGAGTGGGTGCAGGTGAGGTTGGGGCATAGCTGTCAACTTACAGATTTGAAAATAAGGGACCAGCAGCCTCGAAAAGAAGGGATCAGCAGCCAAAATAAGGGATTTTCCAAGCACAGGTATGTTCAACTTCTGAGCCAAAGGCAGAAAGCCCAGCCAGCAGCCAAACGAAGCCTCAAGCGGTGGTCCCCACAGCGCAGCAACCCGGCAAAGGGGATGCAGCAAGGAAAACCGCCGTCACCTTTCCGCTGGGAAGTGCTGAGCAAAGGCGAGTCGAGTCCCCAGGCAACGCGGCCGAGTTGATCGGCACAAGGCATGCAAGCTCCACCCCCCAGTCGTTCTAAGACTCCTTATTGGGTGAGCAACGCAGCCAAGCAACACAGTTGGAGCCTCCCTCCTCTCTGGCCGGCAGGGAGGGAGGGAGAGGAGCTACTTCCTTTGAAACCCGGGAAATTTAAGGGACATCATCAATAAGGGACAGCAGCGGGACACGGCGCTGGGATTAGGGACTGTCCCACGAAATAAGGGACGGTTGCCAGCTGTGGGTTGGGGGGGTGAGGAGGGGCCACACACCTGTTTCTTTTGGGGTTTGGTCTTTTCTTTCAGTGGAGAATCCTGAAAATTGTAGCATTGGAAGGGACTAGTGGACGCTTGGGTTGTGGACGCGATCCGTGCAGGAGGCACGTTCGCAACCTGCGGCACATGTGGGTTGCGATTCGGCGCTTCTGCGCATAGCGTGATTTAGTGCTTCTGCACATGCGCGACTGACGAACTCCCTTTTTTTCCTTTGGGGATATTGTGCATTTACCCTTATCCAGTTATTGATGCAGAAGAGGAACATTGCGAAAAGCTACAGGGAACCAGGCAGAGGGCCTTCTCGGTAGTGGCGCCCTCCCTGTGGAATGCCCTCCCATCAGATGTCAAAGCGATAAACAACTACCTGACATTTAGAAGACATCTGAAGGCAGCCCTGTTCAGGGAGGTTTTTAATGTGTGACATTTTAATGTTTGTTTAACTAAAATGTTTAACTAAAATACAATAACCTATTAAACATTAAAAGCTTCCCTGAACAGGGCTGCCTTCAGATTGCAGCGAATGACGACATCTTTGTGAACCCCTATGAGCTGACACAGTACCTGAAGGACCTCGCCAGAGCGTCCAACTTTGCAGTTCGAAAGCACGTCAAAGTGCAAGTAGATAAATAGGTACCACTCCGGCGGGAAAGTAAACGGCGTTTCCGTGCGCTGCTCTGGTTTGCCAGAAGCGGCTTAGTCATGCTGGCCACATGACCCAGAAGCTGTACGCCGGCTCCCTCGAGATGAGCGCCACAACCCCAGAGTCGGCCACGACTGGACCTAATGGTCAGGGGTCCCTTTACCCCTTTACCTAGGGCTTTCAAGGTCAGCACTAACACTTTGAATTGTGCTCGGAAACATACAGGAATGGTACGATGTTAAAGAATTCCAAATAAAACAATACCCCAGTGGTAGGAACTGTGGTAACAGGAAACCGAGCGCTAACCCTTATGTCCTGCCGTTGCAGCGAACGACGACATCTTTGTGAACCCCTATGAGCTGACGCAGTACCTGAAGGAGATCCCCAGAGTGTCCGACTTCATCCACGGGAACCTGGCCAACGAGGAGCCTGTCGTGAGGACGGGGGATGCCGCGGTGCCCTGCCTCCTCTACCCGCTGGAACACTACCCGCCGTTCATCACGGGGGGAACCATCCTGCCCGGAGCCTTGATCCCGGAGCTGTACCGAGTCTCCCTGCAGCTCCCCGTCTTCCCTCTCGACGAGGCGTATTTGGGGTTCCTGGCCTTGGCGGCCGGCATCACCCTTCGCCACGAGGGGCGCTTCCAGGTGCGTGGCGTCGTCAAGGACGAGCCCGAAGCGTACAAGGAGTCCCTGACCATCCACGGAGTCTCGATGGAGAGGATGGAGGAAGTGTGGAAGGAGCTCTGGGACTGAGCCAAACATTTTAGGCGCACCCCCAAGGGGATGGGACTTGAATTAGGTACATACCCCAGTTTCATGGTTTGGGCTCAGGTGTCTAGGGTGCCCCCCCATCCCCCACAGAGGGGCTGGCCGGTTTAATAGCCTTCTTGTTCAGAGTTCTTTAAAGTTACCCGGGTTGAACGGTGGCGTTGCGACAGCCCAGAAGCCTCCCTTCGCTCCTCAGAGTGGACTTGGAGCAGATAGAATCCAGGAATCATCCATTTTGCTCCCATTCCCCCCCCCTCCTGATGGTGGAGGGGGGCTGGGTTCAATTCTGCACTGCTGCAAGTGCCTGCTCCTGGTGAGGAACAGGCCCCCGCTGCTGAAGCAGCAAGATTCAACCCCTGATCGACAGGCACGGGTTCAAATCCTGCTCAGTTTGGCTGCGGGTTCGTGTGTCCCGTCTTCCAAGCTGCAAATGTCATAAAGCCGACACAACAGGGAGGGCCAGATTTTTCCTCCCATCGCTGTGCAACTAGGCAGTCTCTGTCAGAGGTGACGCCTGCTTGCCCAAAAAATAGGCTCATCTTTTCCTGCCTGCCCAGTACCACTCGCTGGAGCAGCTCAGATAGATAAAATCCTAACAGGAAGAAGCTCTTTGCAAGAGCTGATCTTTCTTCAGGGGCAGCTTGGAAGCCCCCTCCTCTTTTCAGGCTCCACAGCCCTCGCAAGGGATTTCGGCGTGGGGTGGGGTGGGGCTGGTGACCCGTCAAATCAGGCAACATCACGATGGACAGGTGGGTTGCCCCCCTTCCCCGCGTCGAAGTTGGCCTTGCGAGATTCGGCTCCCAGAGCCCAAAACAGGCTCCCGCGGGCAACCCCTACCTTAAGGGGGGGGGGAGAGTCAATTTTGCAGAACTCCGGAATTAAAAGGGCGAGATAGGCGACCCAACTAAACCCAGGAACGCCACCCCGAAACGGTTTTCAAACAGGGACGTTTATTGAAATCTCGTTGGAAAAGTTAACATGAATACCCATAAAAGGACACAGCATTTGGGCGGGTGGAAGAGAGACTAACACACGGGTGGGCGGGGGGGCAAGCAGGATTGAGCGGCTTCATTTTTTTTTTTAAAAAAAGAAAAGCTGGGAGTGGGGGCAGAACTGAAACCCAACTTGGCAGGACGACTCCCGGCTCAAAAGAAATCGACGTCTTCCGGGGCGTCCAAGTCTCGGTACTCCACGATGGCCCGTGGGTCGCCTCGCACCATCCTGCAGAGAGAATTGGGGGTGAGATGGGGGTGCTGGGGCCCGGCTGCGCCCTCTCTGACCCCCCTGTAAGGCACAGCCCCACACCCCTCCACAATGGGTCTGCGGCGGCCCATCTCTGCTCTGGCTTGAATTAGATACACGAACTCCTACCTGTTGCGTGGTTTGTTCAGGTAGCCGCCCTGCCCTCGGAAGGTGTCGTAGTTCCCCCTGCCAGCGGCGTATGGGGTTGGCGGGTAAGGAGGGCCCCCTGTGAGAGATCAAAAGGGGGGGGAGATCATCAGAAACTGACACACTGTGTTATTATTGGGGTGTCTTTGGAAGGTGCTGGGTTTTCGTTTCTGTTCTGGTTGATAAAGCTGTTTTAAGTACACATGTTATTAAACTGTTCGTTCCGAAACAAAAATTAATGTGTTTGTTTTTCATAAGAAAGAGGAGCCTGGCTGCATCAGGCCAATAATAATAATAATAATAATAATAATAAATTTTATTTATACCCCACCCTCCTCAGCCAAGACCGGGCTCAGGGCGGCTAACAACCAATAATAAAAACAAGTTGATTGAAATGCAACTTAAAAAACAAGATTAAAATATAACATTAAAACGTTAGAACATTAAAATGCAGCCTCATCATAGGAGAAGAAAGGAAAAAAGAAAAGAGGGGGGAGGGAGTCAAATTGATTCTAAGCCAAAGGCCAGGCGGAACAACTAGTCCAATATCCTGTCCTCACAGGGGCCAACCATTTGCCCCAATGAGAAACCCACAAGCAGGATTCGAACCCAAGAGCCACCCTCCACTCTCGAGGTTTCCAGAAACTGGTAGTCAGCAGCATTGCTGCCTCTGACTGTGGCGGCAGAGTGGAGCCATTGCAGCCAGTAGCTGTGAATAGCCCTCTCCTACACGAATTCGTCCAGTCCTCTTGCAAAGCCATCCCAGAAGACAGCCGTCATTGCCTGTGGAATAGCGTTTCCTGCAGGGCTCCCCTGGACAAAGCCTGCTCCCAGGGCAACAGCACTGCTTGCTCCCCGGTGCCCCCTTGTGGGGAGGCCTCGCCAGGGCTGTGCCAGGAGCTTTTACGTACCTCCGTATCCCAGGATGGGCAGGCGGGGCTGTCCGTAGGGCAACAATCCCTGGGGGGCCTGCGGAGGGTAGGGCAGCCCTGGAGCCAAACCTGCAAGAGGAAGAGGGAAAGTGTAGTGTTCCCAAAATTTAAATTAATACAATACCCACGAGGCTTGACCAGCAAAACCCTGGGAAGAGATGCCAATAATAATAATAATTCCTCTCCACCCCTCGGCCCAGGTCGTTTTATTCACAAAAGAACTTTTTACACAGTGTTCATAAGAACCAATCAGATTTCCTATGAGCATTTCAAAAAACCCCATGTGGGACAAAGTTAAAACTACAAAGAAACTATTTCCTACTTGAGCATGCATATGTCGTTCAGAGTAAATAAAAGAGGAATAAAAGGAGGAATGCATTCAGCAAAACCCCGGAGGTCATAAACAGGAGAGACAGAATGGCAGTATTCGCCATCTCCTTGTGAACTCTCTTCCTGGCCATTAAGATCTATCTAAAGATTAAACTACATCAAAGTAACCCACTATCCTTATGTACTGAGGATGCCTGATGAAGCAACTGGCCTGTGCTTCAGAATGCTTATACGTGCCTGTCAGCAAATGGCAGAGATGCAGAGGCTTGTGGGATTCGATCAGGAACTATTGTCACTGCATCAAACCCAGTCAGCGCAATGCTTTCATTGCGGACACAATGGCTTGCTTCATTTTTCATAATTCCTCATAGCAATCCCACCTGACCCCCACACTCTGGATATCTGCACCCCTACAGAAAGCACTGCGGTTGCTGTGGGAGAGAGGCAGAAGGGACGCTTGGGGAGAGGAAGAGAGCTGCTGCGTCAGGCCAGGGGCCCCCTCCGTAGTCCAGCATCTTGCTCTTACTGTGGTTTTTAAACCGCTTTGAGGTTTTTCCTTATGAATATAAGAATAAATACATTGACGGCGGCAACACATCTGTCTCGAGAGACAACGGAGTGTGCCTCCGGAGGTGAAGCCAAACAGCTGGAGAATCGCCTGCTGTGGCTGCAGAAACCGGCAACTCGTAACTGCTGCCTCCTGTGTTGTTTTCGCTGCATTAGGAGCCCCGGAGCGCCCTCTCCCAATATAAAAATATTGTGGGAAACGAGCACGATCTGAGTGTGTCCTCTTCTGAAAAGCACCCCTGCGCCCTGTGCATTTGCTGATCCCCCTGGTTCTGCCTGTCCCTCTCTGCCTTACCTTGTCCTGGGGGCTGGTTGGGCTTGAGCTCGGGCAGGGCAGGCCTCTTGGCGTCCATGAGGAAGTTGTTGAAGAAGGACACCTCCTTCTTCACCTCCTCGATCTTCTCCGCATGCTTGTTGAAGATGTGCTTGCGCACAAACTCTGGGCCCTGAGAGAAGAACGAGAGCGATGGAATCGGGGGGTCCGAAAGGGAGTCTCTGAGCGTCATCTAGTCCAACCCCAATGCAGGAATCGCACCTGAAGAAACCCTGGCAGGTGGCCACCCAACTTCTCTTTATAAGCCTCCAACGAGCCTCCCTTCCGAGGGAGTCCGTTCCACTGTGAAACATCTCTCACTGTCAGAAAGTGCTTGCTAAGGTTAAATCAGAATATCTCCCTTTGTGCAATTGGAGTCCTTTGGTTCAGGTCCTGGCCTCTGGAGCAGCTCACTCCATTTCTCGTGCATCAGCCTTCAGGTATTTGATGAGAAAGGCTCTCATTTCCCTCTCAGTCTCCTCTTTTCCAGGCTAAACATCCCCACTCCTTCCTCCTAAGGCTTTCTAGACCCTTGATCATCTCAGTCGCCCTCCTCTGCACATCTTCCAGTGTCCATTGTAACTCGCTCTACGTGGGGCTGCCCTTGAGACTGACCCAGAAACTCCTGCGGGTGCAGAATGCCGCGGCGAGACTCCTTACGGGGTCCTTGCCACGGGATCACATTCACCCGGTGCTATACCAGCTGCACTGGCTCCCAGTGGAGTACAGGATCAGGTTCAAGGTGCTGGTTTTAACCTTTAAACCTTTAAATGGCCTAGGACCCTCATACCTACAGGACCACATCTTCTGGTATGTCCCATGGAGGACCTTAAAGTCTTCAAACAAAAACACCTTGGAGGTCCTGGGCCACAGGGAGGTTAGGCTGGCCTCAACTAGAGCTTAGAGCTTTTTCGGCTGTGGCCCCGATCTGGTGGAACGCTCTGACACAAGAGACCAGGGCCCTGTGGGACTTGACATCTTCCCGCAGGACCTGCAAGACAGAGCTGTTCCACCCGGCCTTTGGCCAAGGCACAGCCTGACCCCCTCCTTTGGCAATCCTCACAGAACTCTAGCCCAATGGTTGCCATTAATTTGATTTGAATTGATTTTAGAATGAATTGATTTTAGAATGCTGTGTTACTTTTATTGCTGTTAGCTGCTCTGAGCCCAGCTTCGGCTGGGGAGGGCGGGATATAAAAATATTATCATCATCATCATCAATAACCTCCTTAAATTCTGGCACCCAGAACAGGACACAGGACTCCAGGTGGGGTTTGACCAAGGCAGAATACAGCGGCACTATTACTTCCCTTGATTGGGACGCTAGACTTCTGTTGATGCAGCCTGGAATAGCATGAGCCTTTTTTGCTGCTGCGTCATGCCGCAGGCTCGTGTTAAGCTGGGGGCCTGGAGAGGGAGGAGAGGGGCGTTTGTGCACGTGCATCAGGGAGCGTGGCCTCCCCCTTGGTCAGACCTGGAGCTGGGAGACCGGGCTCACCTTGAACTTCTTCCCGCTGAGGGGGCACAGCCACTTGTCCTTCCCCAACTCCTGGGTGTTGGCCGTGACGAACTTTTCCACCTCCTGCTCCGGGTCCTTCTTGCCCATCTTCTGGGCCTCCTCCTCCGAGAGGAACTCCCGGGCGCTGAACAAAGGGCTCAGCTTCTCCTCAAAGGTCTTCTGCCAGTCAGACACTGCAAAGGGAGGGCAAAGGGAGCTCGTGGGGCCTCCGAGGAAGCTGCATGTTGGGAGATTTGGGACAGACAAAAGGGTTTCCCTTGGGGGGCAACTGGTTGGCCACTCTGAGAACAAGGATGTCGAATTGGATGGGCCATTTGAAAGGGAACTCTTATAGTACAGTGGTGCCCTGCAAGACGAATGCCTCGCAAGACGGAAAACCCGCTAGACGAAAGGGTTTTCCGTTTTGGAGGTGCTTCGC